CAAATGGGTTTGACTGCGGCATGTTCATGTCGCGCACGGCCGAGTATCTCGTGCGCGACGCCGTGCTAGACTTCACGCAGGCGGACATGCCCAACTTGCGCCGCAGGATGGTGTTTGAGCTGAGTCAAAAGGCGCTGACGGACTGAGAGCCGAAAGAAAACCTGCTGGCGTCTGTGTTTTGTGCGTGTATTACACTCTCTGCGCACCGCGGAAAAGGAACCGCACAGACGTGAGACCGGGACTCCGGAGAGAGGGAGTCCAGAGTGTCACACCGGTGAGAGTGACGCAGTGAGAGCGAAGTGCAAGTGGCGTGAGAGACAAGACGACGAAGATCGAAGTCTCTCAAGAGTGCAAGACCGCAAGACGAGTGCCACTGCGGCGTGCGGGTGTGGCATGTGCCGGGTCGACTCTCGCGCCCCGTCTCGGCACTCGGGTCGAGTCTCGATACTCATAGACGGTCATATACTTAAAGCCGTACAGGAGTCACAGGGGAAAAGACACACCCAGACACATGTCAGTGGGTATCTGATAACGACCGCCGGCGCTGGGCCTGGGCGTCGCCGGTGTGAAAAAAGGTCGCTGTCAGTAGTGGGCGGGTAGTGAGTGTTGCACACAGTGGCTGCGGTCATCGGTGTACCGGCTCTGCTCTGTACACACACTACGTATACTATAATGCGAGCAGCTGGCCGACTGCGGCGCCCATCGCCCCGCTGTGACCTGCTCGCTGAGGGCTGCTCGGACGCCTGGGTAAAGACGGCTACGCACTGGCGGATGCATGTTGCGCTTCCTTCCGCTACCACTCGTTGTCAGACGCGTCGCTCTCCACGATGTTATCGAGCGTGCTCATGGGGCGGACATCGGACGGGTCGGCGACGTTTGGTGCGAGGTTGTCGATGTGTGGGCCGGCGAGCACCTCGTCCAGCATTTCGCGTCGATGGTGAAGATTCACGTTGTTGCGCACGCACCACACCCACGCCTGCAAACGCAGGGATTCCGTGAGATCCCGGGCTCCGTGCAAACGTCAGTCGGCTTGAGAGAGTCGCACGTTGCGGTGATCGTGCGTGTCGCATATGAACTCGTACTCGGGCTCGTTCTTCATTTTGATCTTCCATCGCTTTGAAGAGCCTTTGCACGCGCCGACCCACCGGATGTCATCAAAATTGATGAACTTCTCCTTCTCGTCCTCACCTGGCTTGACCACGTGCCTGTTGATCGCCACCGTTCCCAGGCTGCCTAATGGGATGGAAAGGAAGGCTCGGCGAGCGTATAGAAGCGTTCTCGACCTCGTCGTGGCAATCTGCACGGCAGCGCTGGCAGGCGATATGAGCGTCGTGCCACCTGACCCGAGACGGGTCGCAGGCGTCGTACCGAGCGCGTCGAGACCGTGTCCTGATGTGATCTGCACGGGTGAGTCACGTCGGCGTCAAAGGAGCGACGTGCGACCTGTCAGAGCTTGATCTCCGATCTCAGCGGCGTCGAGTCATCTCCGGCGCGCGACAAAGGTACATCCACAGGACGCGCAGAGGCAGCTGCGACCCCAGGGAGATGCACTGCCCGGCACGAGGGCAAGGCTGGGCGTCCTATGTTTGTGCTCCCCCCCGGACCCCTCGCTCTCGGGCACTAACCATCTGACCACTCATCGACGGGGCTTGGCGAGCGGCCGCGCTGCGGGGCAGGGCTGGTGAGGATGGGCTCTGGCCACTCGCCCGTGCGGTTGTAACCGCGCATCAGCCGAACGGAGGCCTCGACCGCCCCTCGCGGCAAGC